TTTTGTTTAATTTTACAGAACTAAGAATAAATAATTAATTTTGCTGCAATTTGCAAATTTGCATTTCATAAATAATATTTGATTTTATATTAAAATATAATTAGTCAATAAAATAACTTAAATTGTTTACAAATATAAACATTCAAATGACGTACATGTATATATGTATATATGTAAATATATACATGTATGTGCACTTTAAGATATAATTAAGAATAGAATAAAATTGAATTATACACATTTTCAACACTGTTTGAATAAAGTAGATAGGTACTTTTTCGTAGAGCTTAAAATTATAAATTAAATGAAATAAATGAAAGTATGCTAGAATTTATCTCCCACGCATATGTCTATTTCAGACGACTAATTTTACTTTTATCTAGGATAAAAATATCAAAATTATTTTGAAGTTACAAAAGTTGTTTGAGATATTAATATTGATTACTAGATAGAATATTAAACTCAACCATTGCATGCCACAATAATAAATAATTTAAAACATTAAAATTCAAGAACGTTTTTCTTGAATTTTTCTAACTTTTTAAACGCAATGAATTTATTTCGATTGATATGTTGAGTTTAGCGATAATGTGGCACTTCTTTTAATTTTTTACATATATAATAAAGGTATTAAATAATTCAAATAAACTTAAACATTAGTGCATGAGAGTTATTTGACTCACAATAAATTACTCACATATATAATAACAGAAAAAATAAGCACAAATGACTAATTTTGATCGTAACTCTCATAACTTCATTATTTACCTTTATGTGTACTTGTCAAATGTTTGCTTAAATGTTTATGAAAATTTATTCTACCTTACAAATCGCTTTCACCGTACAAGGCTGTGCTGAAGGACATGTAATCGAGAGCACCGGGTACACCATTGGGTCCCTTGTAAGGTGGCATACGTTGAATGCAGTATTCGGCCTGGTCTGGTGGCAATTCTCTGCGTAACTCATCGGGCAGAATGTATGGCTGAAAGAAGGAACAATATTATTTATGTAAATTTTGATTATTTTTACTTTACACTTATATTACATTACACTTTTATAAACTTTTTCATTAACAAATTATGACTTTTAAGATTATTCTATAAATTACACAGGCGCACAAAATAAACTACTTGGTATTGGTATTTTGCCTTGAGGCAAGTTAAATGAACTTCCCAATAGGTGTAAATAATCGACTAATCAATGAGAAATAAATTAATTTATGAGTGATTAAAAGTATTCCAAGTGGATTTATTACACATAATTGTAAACGAACGAACACGTTAACTCGGAGTATTTTCTAGAAGCAAATTTTCAAAAATCAACATTTTTTATAATTGTACCAGTTTCCGCAGGACTAATACTTTGGTATGTTCATTAAGACTAAGACTAAGACTAAGTGCTCTATCGTTACACCAAGCATATCGTCTAATTTTAATTTTAACTACTCATTTTCTCAAACTTTGATGAACTTTTAAATTTAAGTACGTTCTATAGACCATGATATATATCGTCAAAAAAAAGTTCCATAAAAATCGGCTTAATTTTTTTTTTCAAAAGTTAATTACAAGAAAACGGTTCGGTAGATTTTCACCTAAAATTAATCAGTATCATTCCCAACTAATATCTTTCAAACAGTTTTTGATATTTTAAAATCGATTCGGTGGTATGAGCTTAAATGTGTACGAAAAGTTTAACACTTGTTTTCAAATTGCAAAGACAAGGCTCAGCAGATCGTCGCACAAAACTGACAAACGATAGTCCTCATCGAGATACATCAAATGACTTAAATTTTTTAAATCGGTCCGGGCGTTTTTGAGAAAACCTCGATTTACACATACTTTTTTCCAAATTTGGTCTCATTCGATTCAGAATGGCTTGAAACGTCGAGAAAACATAAAATTAGCGAATCGGATTTTTTAATGATACATAAGCTTCTCCTTCGAGTTAAAAAAGTAGTAATTAGAATACGAACATTATTTTGGGTCAATTTTTATTTATATTATTAAGACTAGCCTTCCAAATATAAGTGGTGATGGCATCGTGCCTTAAGACAAATTGCTGGAACTTCCCGTACCGTAACGAAATGTTCGATGAATATTAAATGTTTTTATGTAAATTATTATAAATACTGTAACATTGTCTAATATTTATAAGAATTCTATAAACTGAATTACAAAGTTATAATAACTTATTTAGAGTATATAAGCGAGCTTTAAAACTTTAGTCAGAATTAAAATAAAAATCTGAATTATTTTCGATATACAAAAAAATTTAGAAAAAATTTAAATTAAAAAAACCAAAAGCAATTTTTTTGTCAACACAAGCAGAAAGTTTTTTGAATCATTCAAACCGGATGCTTAGTTCCCCTAAGAACTGCCATTTTTTGTACATTTAGCTCTGTATCTTTGAAATGGCCGGATCTGCCTTTACCAAAACTGATCACCTCTTCTCCCAATCATTACAAATTAAATGTTTTATGGATCATTCAAATCGGATACTCTGTTCTCTCAAAAGCTCGATTTCTATTTTCTGTACTCCTTGCTCCGTATCTCCGTAACTGCTGGGCCTGCCTTTGCCAAAAACTAATCAGCACATCCCCTTATCAATAGGAATCGAATGTTTCTTGAAGCATTAAAATCGGTTGATCCGTGCGCCCGAAAACGTGGACGATAAATTGTATCCATACATACACACACACACACATACATTTATTCTAAGGTATGCCAAAATGTTCAGAAACCTCTGAAACATGAAGTTATGCAAAAAATTTAATTTTCGATTTTCTACTACATTACTATAACTGACCCTACTGAATGTTAATAAAACCTAACTTTACAAATTTTTGTTAAATATGAATAGAGATAATAATAATACCTTGTCGGAGGCCAAGATTCTGAAGCTGTCGATGACTTGTTCGGCAGTGTCGGTGTCTGTACTTTCGCGGGTCATGAAATCTAAGAATGCATCGAAGTGGACGTATCCAGTTCCATTGGGATCGACTACTGCCAAAATCCTTTGGAAGTCCAAATCGCCTTGACGATCCTTTCCTATCGAGTAGCCGAGGGAAACCAGGCATGACTTGAACTCATCAGGCGCCAAACGTCCTATATAGAAATAATAAAATTAATTGCTGAAATTTGTAACAAAATTATAGATACAAATAATATATTTATAAAAGAAATATTTGCTTTATATAAGATATAAGATATGTGAGTGGTATAACAATTTATAGATTTAAATAAAATTCGTGTACAAACCCTTATAAGTCCTTCTGACCAGACCTACTAAGAGAGTCAAAAAGTTCTTTATAGATTTTATTTATAATTTATAGAACATAATATTAAAAAACATTGTTCATTAATAACAAAATCATAAAACGTAACGGTAAATGATCAAATCTAGCAGAATAATCTTGATGAATTAAAATTATCAAAATTTACAAAACTAGTTGAAAGTGGCATTTAGCCTTAAGGCAAGTTGCATGAACTACCAGAAATGTGTAAGAATTGACTTAATCAATCTAAATTGAAATTTAGTTATTTAGATAAAATTTTCAACTGTTTATTTCAAAAATGAAGTTATCGCTTTCAATTAAATCTAAACATTGCGATTTCGAATAGAATCTTATATTATATTAATTATATTGCACAGGCACGTGCTTGCATACCCTAAATTTGATATTATATTAAATTTTAATAAATTGATAATGTTTGACTCATCACATCACAAAAGCCACTTTTGACACTATAATATTTTCTGAAACTTCGATAAATTTTCAACAATAAACTATTTGTCGTAGGGCCGTAACATTTTAGTATGTTTTATAAGACCATGATATCTTGCCAAAAAGATTCATAAAAATCAGCAAATTTTTTTTTCAACAGTTAATTTTAAGAAAACAACTCGGTGGATTTGTACCTAAAACTAATCAGCATCATTCCCAACTAATATCTTTCAAACAGTTTTTGATTTTTTAAAATCGATTCTGTAGTATGAGCTTAAATGTGGACGAAAAGTTTAACACTTTTTTCCAAATTACAAAGAAACGGCTTGGCCGTTCGTCGCACAAAACTGAGAAAAGATAATCCACACCGGAATACATCGATTGGCTTTTAAATTTTTAAAATCGGTCCAGGCGTTTTTGAGCAAACGATGAAAATTCTAAATTTAACGAACGCCAAAAAATCGATACTAATTTTTGCAAACTTTGACGAATTTTTAGAAGTAAACTACTTGTCGTAGGGCAATAATATTTTAGTATGATCTATAAGACTATGGTATCTGCCACCAAAAAGAAAATAATAAAAACCATCGATTTTTTTAATACTTTATTACAAGAACATGTCCCAACGAATTTACTAAAAACTAATCAGCACGATTCCAACCAATATCTTTCTAACAGTTTTTGAATTTTCAAACTCGATTTAGAATTGCGCGCTAAAACGTGGACGAATTTTTTTCACTTCTCTGCTATTTATAAAGACACGGCTGATCGTCGCGCAAAACTGATGCATCCAATAGTTTTTAAATTTTTGAAATCGGTGCAGCCGTTTTTGAGAAAACGCCAATTTACGGTGAAAAATCTGTTCACGCACAAAAACACCCACCCACTTTTCTTCAAATTCGGTCTCATTTGATTCAGAATAGCTTGAAACGTCGAGAAAACATAAAATTAGCGAATCGGATTTTTTGATGAAAACTTCTCTTTTAGGAAGATTATGGTTAAACTGCCGAGTTTGGGGTTAAGTATCGCAACTTTTAATGATATTACTAAAAATTTTCAATAACAAATTTGATATACAAAATAGAAAAAAAATCTATTAACTTGAAAGTTTTATTATTTATCCTACCTGTGCGGTTCTTGTCGAAGTGGTTAAAGCTAGCCCTGAATTCTGTGAGCTGTTCTTGCGTGATGCCCTTAGAATCGCGGGTCAAAATTTGATTCTCGACTTCGTTAACGTTTCTATTGATACTGGTGAGAAGTTGTTCCCAGCCTACACGTAATGTGTCCATTGTATATTGAGTGTAACGATTTTCGAATACCATGGCTTCCTGGACGGCCTGGTGGATCTTTTCCAATTCCTCGATGTGTGGCTTGTAGGCGTACACGGCTTGTTCGTAGTCGCGCAGGCGGTGCAGTTGTTCTTCCAAAGATCCCTGGATAAATGAAAGAGAATTATTAGAATGGTGATTTTTGAGGTCACTTTTTGAAGTAAAACTTCTTTAGGCGCGACTATGGTGTAAATCTATACAAATGCAACGGAAACAGCGTTACGGCCGAGTCGAGTGCCTTGAATTCGTCATTCGCTCTCGATGATATCTTTTCTATACGGATCGATTGTGATTGGTCGTCGTGCCGCGTGAGTATGATTGCTTTGATTGTATAGTGAAAATAATAAAACAAATGAAAAATCTGACGTTTGAGAAACGTAAGTTTATTGGAGTAATTTCTATTATACGTAGTTACTATATATTTTTGAGGTTATTAAAATAGAAATTATTTTTATAGCAAGACATACTACAGCTGCTCAAAGAATTAGACTATATAGCCAGCAAAAAAAAACAAGCAGTCAATAAATGTATGTTAATTTTAATTGCATAAAGCTCTTCAAACACAATTACATGATGAGTGAAATTGTGAAAACAATATTTCTTTAGGCGTTGTTTAACTTAATATGCAACTTATATATAATAACTCTCTGCATTTTAATAGATATTAAAAAAATATTAAAGCAGTACAGCTTTATTCTATCATGCCGAAGATATATCTTTTTCAGAATTATATCTCAGACACTTTTGGAAGTTTAGAGAAAGTATAGATGTTTTCCGATCACGATGGCAATTAAGTATTACAAAGTTGCACATTTTTATAAATGATGAAGAATAAATTAATATTCAGATTTATTACTCTAAACAAGAGATTTATCATTATATAAATGTGTATAATGGTTGACACTAATAAATGCGTGCATCACGAGTGTTACCATTACTAATAAACATTATTTAAAATTGTTATATGATGCATTTATTTATTATTTATTAATGCCATCTCGTACAATAGCAAAAATTTTACTTCGACCGCGTGTGAACCTTACACGCATTCTTTTTTTCTTAGTATGTTCGATATAAAAATGCTTAAAATGAAATTCAACACTCGATTTGTTAAATAAGTAACGTCTGTGGCCGGTTAAATGAATAATGGGGTATTCATTATAATTCTATTATAAATTAACTAGGTATAAATATTCTTTAGATGTTTAAATAATTTCCAGAACTTTTCATCACTCACCATAAGACCCATTCCAATGGCAGTGACAGCATCCATTTGTTTTTCGATCCATGGTCCAACAGCATTGGCTTTTTCAGCAAACTGCCTTCGCAACATTTCATTATCTATAAGAAATTATTTATCAATAAAAAACAATCATTTTTTATTTATAATATGTAAAAAAACATCATAAATGATGCCAGATAAATGTTATGGCAAGGCCATGTTACGCTCCAACTTTCATACATTATGCTACTGAATCATACTGAATACTGTAAAAATGTCATGTATTTGCTGCGCATTCAGGCGTTTTACACATAAACCGCAACGTCACTCGTATGTTATGAAGCTGGGTCAGAAAGACCCTGTTATCTAAGATCGTTTTTTTTGACAGTTGCGGTTTCTAGGTTGTGTTTTCTATCTGACAACCTGAGAAAAATGCCTGGCTGCATAGCAACCACATGGCTTTTGTCAAAATTTAGAACGAAATAGTATGGAAAGTTCTTTATAAGATAATCTTGCCATAACATTGTACTGTTATACGTCAGACTCGGTCCAAAAATCTATATAATTATATTATGTAGTATAATTTCTAAAAATATCGTCTTGATGATTTTGATATTGTATAAAATAATTAAACTGGTAATTAAAATTAATTAGATTAAATTAGAAAAGAAGAGATTAGTACAAGTTGTATCTGCAGATTTAAAAAACAAATTCTGGCAAATTTGATGTACTTTACAGTGATTGTAACTAAGTAATCAACATTTTTGTAATATTCTGATAACTGTATTGCATTTATAATTTTTCCGGTTATATAATTAAATAAATATGTCCAGGTATTTCGGTAATTTCTCTTTTAAAACCGGTAATACCGGTAAAATACCGAAATTTTTATTAACTTAAACAAATGTAAATAAAATTGAAAGTTACTAGAACAAATATGAAAAATTATATATACAACTACATATTGAGTACTTTTCACCAAAATTAAACGTTGAAGTAAGAAAGACCAAAAACTCATTAAATATCATATAACATTACTATAATAAATTGCATTGCCTGTATTCGATGTGTTTAAATAGCTTTCATTATTTTAAAGACTTTAAAAGAGTAATTTTTCTATACTAATTTAAGATCCGATACTTTATCAAGATAAATAATAACATAATTGTTGAGTATGTTTACTTAAAACAATATAATGGTTCTTTATTATTTTTTAACTGTGATATGTTTTACGTAAAATAATATTTTATGATTGTAATAAAAAGCAGAAATATTTAGTAATTATTATGATTAATATGTATAAAGTTAGTGTTTATTTTGGTGATATCAAGCCCTTTGGAAAGCAATAAAAGTCGACATAATATTTTGACATTTGTTTATACTATAGAACCACAGATATAGATAATCTGTTTATGCGATTTTGGAATTTAAAGAGAAATTTGTTCCGAGAAATTGAAAACTCGAGTATCAACTAGCGCTTATGTAAAAATACTGAAAATACCGGTATTTTTAAGGTAAATACCGGTATTAACACCGCCGAAAATTCGGGCGGCATACAGGTATTGCATTCCCTAGTCTTCATGTAAAGAATAAGATGAAGTTGCATTAATGAATTTATACTAAATCAATATTTTTCCCTTACTTTGTTGTTTGCGCAACTCGGCGGCCAATGTCTCGTCTCTCCTTGGAACCAATTGTCTGACATCAGTCCATTTCTTAGTGAGTTCGTGTGCCGTCAAGGCTGTGTAGGGATTCTCCAATCCTCCAGGGATTTGATGTTGTTTGACAATGCTTTCTACTTCTCTCACCAGCCCGACAATGCTCTGATGTTCTTTGTCGGCTTCGCCTAAAGTTGCCTTGAAGTGGGCGTGAGCGTCCATGAGTCCTGCGATCTCTTCCATCGTGTGAACAATGAACATATCGACCAGATCTTCGCGGGTTCCATCCAACCTAAGAAAAAATTATATAATAAATTAGAAAGTACTTAATTCAAAAGTAGGGGCATGCTAGGACTTTCTGGTTAGGGTAAATAATATATTAACACTATTCCTACCGACATTTCATGTTTATTCCTATTCCTACCGCAGCCGGTCAAATAACCGGTCATGCAAAATCTATATTTTTCAGCATTGAATGAAGAGCCAATGCTAGTTTAAAAGTTTATAAATACAAATACAATATATTTCTTTTATTTCAGAATGCGAAATCTACATTTTATTCTATTTTATCAAATTTTTTATGATTTTTTTCCTTAGAGTGTATTTTCTGCACATGAATTTTTGACGTTTTTGGCTGATTTTGTTCGCTATTCATCTTTCTAAAGCATTATCTGGAATATTTTCTTTTGTGGAATCTTTTTGTATTTGTACTTAGTTGATTTTTTTTCTTGTTGGATCTATACGGCAAGTTAATTGAATAGAAAGTTCTTGCCTTGTACATCGTCTTCCCATAATTTCTTCATGTGAAAACAACATGTTTATCCTGAATAAATCCAAAATAATGTAAATCCTTGATAAATTCTCTCTAAAATTCATATTTTACTAAATGATTTCGGGCTACTTTATGAATGACATCTACACCAAACACGGCGCTAATACCAATTGAATTTACTCCCGTATTAGTGTAATTTTTTCAACATATGTGTATGTAAGTCAAAATTAGTATCTTCTTTCTTAGCTTCCAAAATTGTAAATATTATTTGAGTGAAGTCCTTGATTTTTAGTTCTACCAGTGTTTGTTGCTGTTATATTGCTTCAATTGTACCTATCGTCACAGTTTTTTTTACTAACTGTTTAGCTATAAGTAGATTGGTAAAAACGTTTAAGTTTTTTACATTGTACTAGCAATTTTGATAATACGGTTTCATTGGTTATAAATCTTCAAAGAAATTTTCAGCTTTCTACGTACACTGCATGGTTATCAAAATTTTGCACTCCACTATTGCGATTTGCTTGGCATAATTATATTTAGATCGTATATTGAACAGTTACTAAAATTTTCTACTACGTTTTCCTAAATATTATTGAACATGTATTGAATATAATTACACCTTACCTTTATTGAAAATATATGTTTGTCGATAGTAATACGAGGTCTTTTACAATAATTTTGATTGCTGCCAATGTAGTTGAACCAACCTTTGGGTTCAAAGCAACACTTATCAATTTGTTGTTTGTATTCCTTCGTAAAAATCTGTCTACACATAGACATTGAGCAAAAAGGAGAAAACCCACTTTGTATACCGTAGAAGTGCAATATTTACTCTCCTTGCCTCATATGCGCAGCGTGCATGCAGAATTGGCAAAAATTGAAAAAACAAATTTACATTGAAAAATGTATCATACTCACATATTAGGAAAAGTCATAAAGTTTGATGACGATTGAACTACATTCGATATGAAAAATACTAATCCAAAAATCAAAAACGGTCATTTGACCGGTCCCGGTAGGAATAGTGTTAACACATAGCTAAATCTATATTCTTATTGATCGGATTTTCTGGCAAAAACGTCAACTGTTCCTTGGGGAAGTTAATAGGATTATTAAATAGATTTTCAACTTACCAGTTGTTGAATGGAGCAGCGCGCTTGGCGAATTCCAAATGTAGAATATCGATCTTCTCCAAGATCTTTTCGGCTTCATCGAGAGCGGCACGCCTGCGTCCGGTCAAGGAGCCCAATCTGTCCCATTGGTCGCAGATGCGTTGGCAGCGGGCGTTTACGCTCACCGAATCGTGGTATTCGAGGGTGCTGTTGGTAAAATCAATATAAATTAAATATGTATTTTTAACGATATTCTTATTATAATCTAATCCAGCTAAATATTTGCTTTTATTGAACAAAACGGAGTATGGTGAAGTTGCTTAACACTAGAATGACGGAGGTTGGTTGTATACCTATTTTGCCTGATTGAGAGTCAATTTGGGTAAGGGATTAAGGAGTAATAGAAATTAATTTTTGTATACCATTCATTGTAATATGAAAAATTAAAAACATAAAAAAATTGTTATGTATATCACATAAAAAATGTGAATGAGTCAAATTGACTCGCTCCGTCATTCTAGTGTTAAATCGTAATACTTCCTAAGTCCTACGCCTTACCCCGGCTATATTTTACACTTATATACATATACAGTAATACCCCGATTAACGCGGAGGATACGTTCCATCACAGTACAGCGTAATGCGAAACAGCGCTAAACGAGGCTATATTTACATGGAAATATTGGGGATAGGAAAAGATGACTAAGAAATTGGATAGGTATTAAATTTAAAATGTATGATTTTTAATAAATATAAAACTAAAAATTTAATTCTTAAAGCCCAAATTAATACCAAATTATTATTTATTGCAAAAATAAAAACAAAATATAAATAACAAAACCCATATTCTTAAAAAAAAAAATGAGTCAGTCATATTTAGTTAGCCTTCCGCATTTTCAGTGTTCTGCCTTTTTGTTACAAAGACATCTAATGTTGTTTGTCTTTTTTTCTTTCGCATGTTTCTCTTAAAAGTTCTTCTTAAACGGATAGAGCATCTCTAATATCACGTCCTACTTTTGAGCTCCTGTCAAAATTCGGATCATTTTGAATGAATCACGTATTTTTATTCAGTTATTAATTTCAGACTTCGAAGACATTGCAACTTAAGTCGTACCTGTGCAAAATTCATAATTCTTATTGGTTACAAATACCAAAATGAAAAACAAGAAGTTGGTTTATCCAATAATCACTATATTAGATGGATGAAATAGTTACATTTCCTTTCTAATTGTCTGTATCTTATTGAGTGATTGAGATACTACTTTCTGATATTGATTATTGATTTTAGATCATATGTTACTAATTGTAATTTATGTGTTATGCTACTAATTATGCACGACTTGGTAATAAGAAAAAGATAAAACTAAAAAAAAGTTAATATCAGAATGAATTCTGTATGGTTGGTACGTTCAACTAACAGTGCCATTATTCAGAACTATCGTAGTAGTACGACTAACAATCTTGTAAATTTTTGAAAAACGTTAAAATACCAATTTCAATAAAAAAAATCAGTCAATTAAATGAAGATTTTTTAATGCCAAAGCTATTGATTTAATTTAATTGCTTGAAATATCACAAAAAAAATTCTTAGGGGGTACGACTTAAGCAACTTCACCACACATAAATTCAATTTACTGCTTTATTATTATCCATTTATAAAGGTGTTTCTGTTGGTTCTCTGTATAATTTAAAAATGTAAGTAGACATATGGGATCTAAATCCAAATCTAAAATAAAATCTACATGTATGTGATATAACGGTTTGTCAAAAACCAAAATCGATTTGGTATTTAAAAGGCTGTGTTCTTGGTTAGACTATTAAAAAAAAAATGGGTTCGTTTTTGGAAAATGGGTAATTATTACTAAGGTTTTTAAATAAATACTTTTAAACTTTTTTGTATTTTTTTCAAGGCAGTTACCTTAAAATTATTATAACACAAAATATTAAGAAAAGTTTTATCAGTGATAGAGAACCAAATATGCAAATATATTTCTTTTCTCAAATTTAATAAAAAGTATGGGTATCAACATAGATAAAAAAGTATAAATTGGTCATCAATAATTTCTTGGATAAATGGAAAATAATAAATGACCCTCAATATAATAGAAATATTAAAAAAAATTATTTTACTTACTTAAGTTCCTGTGCAATAGCAGCGATTTGTTCAACGCGATCTTGGTGGGCAGCCAAGTCACTTTCGAAGGCTTCGTGCTTCTTCTTGAGGGCCTTAATTTCATTCAATTTGCATTGACGGAAATCTTGAGATTGCAACATCTCTTCCTTACCACGAGTCCATTCTTCGTGAGTATCAGCCTAAAAAGTAAAAAAATATTATTGAATTATTTCTTCCTAAAATTCATCTAGTAAAACAATAATAACACCAACATAACAGTGATCACCCTTCTTTATGAGTATGACATCATAAAAAATGTAATGATAATATATAAAAAATAGGAGTATAAAAATTTCAATTGATATTTAATATTTTGTCTTACCTTGTGCTTGAATTTCTGTGCCAAATGTTCCAATCTTTCAAGACGCATCATTTCGCTAAGTAGCCACTCTTCGAAGGCTTTTTCTGAGATTTCCAAACCTTTCCATGCGTTTGCAATGTCCTGAAAATTGTATTAAACTAGTTGGTTTGGTATTTAGCCTTGAGGCAAGTTACATGAACTTCCCGATATGTGTAAATAATCGACTTAATCAAAAAAAATGTGTAAATAATATACTTCATCAATCCTACTTTAAAAAAAACGATAATAATTTTAGCAAACTTTGACGAATTTGTAAAATTAAACTACTTGTCGCAAGGCTGTAATATTACAGTGAGTTCTATAAGAACATGATGTATATCGCCAAAAAAAGTTCCATAAAAATCGGCTTAAATTTTTTTTCAATTACAAGAAAACGGCTCGGTAGATTTTCACCTAAAACTAATCAGCACCATTCTCAACTAATATCTTTCGAACAGTTTTTGATTTTTTAAAATCGGTTCGGTAGGATGGGCGTAAATGTGGACGAAAATTTAACACTTTTTTTCAACAGTTAATTACAAGAAAACGGCTCGGTAGATTTTCACCTAAAACTAATCAGCACCATTCTCAACTAATATCTTTCGAACAGTTTTTGATTTTTTAAAATCGGTTCGGTAGGATGGGCGTAAATGTGGACGAAAATTTAACACTTTTTTTCAACAGTTAATTGCAAGAAAACGGCTCGGTAGATTTTCACCTAAAACTAATCAGCACTATTCTCAACTAATATCTTTCGAACAGTTTTTGATTTTTTAAAATCGGTTTGGTAGGATGGGCGTAAATGTGGACGAAAATTTAACACTTTTTTTCAACAGTTAATTACAAGAAAACGGCTCGGTAGATTTTCACCTAAAACTAATCAGCACCATTCTCAACTAATATCTTTCGAACAGTTTTTGATTTTTTAAAATCGGTTCGGTAGGATGGGCGTAAATGTGGACGAAAAGTTTAACACTTTTTTCCAAATTACAAAGAAACGGTTCGGCCGATCGTCGCACAAAACTGAGAAACGATAATCCTCATCGAGATACATCAAATGCTTTTTAAATATCTGAAATCGGTTCAGGCGTTTTTGAGAAAACGTCGATGAAAATTCTAATTTTGACAAATGCCAAAAAGACCATACTGATTTTTGCAAACTTTGACGAATTTTTAAAGCTGAACCAGTTGTCGTAGGGCCGTAATATTTTAGTATGACCTAGAAAACTATGGTATCTATCGTCAAAAAAATAATCATAAAAATCGTCGAAATTTTTTTTTTTAAAACTTTATTACAAGAAAACGGCCCGGCCGATCTTTACCAAAAACTAATCAGCACGATTCCCAACCAATATCTATCGAACGGTTTTTGAATTTTCAGAATCGATTCGGAATTGCGAGCTAAAACGTGGACGAAAAATTTTTCACTTTTCTGCAATTTACAAAGAAACGGCCCGGCCGATCGCCGCACAAAGCTCAGAGACGATAGTCCTCATCGAGATACATCAAATGGCTTTTAAATTTTTGAAATCGGTCCAGCCGTTTTGGAGAAAACGTCGATTTACGGCAAAAAATCTGTTCACACACACACACACACATACACACACACACACACACACACACACACACACACACACACACATACTTTTTCCAAATTTGGTCTCATTCGATTCAGAATGGCTCGAAACGTCGAGAAAACATAAAATTAGCGATTCGGATTTTTTGATGAAAACATAAACTTCTCCTTCGGGAAGTTAAATATTTGTTAATATTCATATTATTTTGATAACGTTGATAAAGCAAATAAAGACTGAAGCAGTAGGTACTCATAAAAGAAGACCCCAACAAATTAAGCCAATGGTGGAAGATCACTGACAGGAGTGATTTCTATTTTTTTTTCTTAAAGAACACTTGTATTATATTGGTTATCTTTCTGGAGGATCCTCATCCACCAATTTCCATTGCATCTTATAAATTTTATCAAAAAGATATAGGAGAAGGAATTATATTCTACTTACAGAAACCATTTTTCCTTCAGTGGGCATATAGGCAGGGCGATTGGACAGCCTCAATTTAGTTTGCAGAGTGTTAAAGTTAGTTTCGAGCTTGGCCTTCTGTTCAACACGTGGTGGCTTGTGTTTGCGCCTGTAAGTTCGGTATTCTTCCAGTTTTTTCTGGACACCGGCCAAAGAGTTGTCGGTTTGTCGGGAACCCAGCCAGGGCATGGTGCGGCGGATCCATTCTAGCAACTGAATAAAAAATTATAAAAAATTGGTTGAAGTGGATAAAAACTAATTTACAAGAGCAGTTGTGGATGGCATATAAAAACAATAACAGGAGACCATAAAATCATCCAGTAATAAATCAACTAATTTATTTGTCCAAACAATGAATATACATTTTGGATTATGAAGATATTTTTTTGCCAAGAATCTGTTATTATTCATGTATGATATAGAAACTTTTTTTTTAATTTATCTAAATAAATATTAAATCCATGTTTAACTATATATCAAAATCAAATTAATCTGAACTGAATTATAAGTTAAATAAATTAAACCTGGATACGACTGATGAAAACATCAATACCAACAGGAATAACATTAATAATTTGGTACATATTTTCATTCAATAAATTGCAATATGTTCTCAAGTTAAAATAGTCTTTGCCCAGCATTTATTAAAAATTCAGCGGTATTACAGAAATTGATTAAGATAGAGATAAGACAACCATTTGGGTTGCCATCTATAAATCCACGTCCATCAGCACAATAGGATAAATCAAAGGATTTATTAATTTGATTTCTGATTGCTATTAAATAATTTTAAAAAATTTATATTGATTGATAAAAATAAATACTTACATCGCTAGCAAGTCGTTCGTATTCCTCCATGAGGCGTTCATTTTCTTGATTAACTTTGAGAACCTTGCAGATACGGTTTGCGGCAGTTTCGGCCTGGTTGGAAAAAAAAATTTTAGTTTAAATTTACTTAACACAAATATATATATATATAACAAGACATGCAAATCCCGTAGGCAAAGCAAAAAAAAATTAAAAGCAAATATTAATATCACAAACGGCGACAAAATCACTCTGAATAACGAATGCATAACATCGTTTGTTAATATGAATTAATTTGTATAAAATAATCCAGGTATTAATTTTGATTATAAAATAATCATATTCCTATATTTTACTTGAAAAAAAAATCATGTTAAAATAAAATTAATAACAATCAATATGTTTTCACTTTCGCTAAGCAATTGTAATGATAAATTAAGTATGAATATTGCAATTAAAAGTATCTTCTAAAATTAACTACTTTTCCTTCCATTCAATTGATTATTACAATTGGTACATTTGTTGGCAATGAGATACATCAAAATTAATGAAAGAAAACTATTATTATAGAAAGATTTTTTTTATTTTATTAATAGATACAATTAAGGGCTCTCTGATTTCCCTGATCTGCCTGAAAATTCATCATCGTAAAAATGTGTTTTTTTTTTTTGTTATTTTTCAAAAATTTGTCACCTGGTCCTTTTTATCCTATGAACAGGGAGAATAGGACGGCCAGGGGCAAACTGGTCTAATGTCTTTTCATTTATGAAGGAATTTAACAAAATAATAGCTAAATTTAGATATAAAAATTTAGTATTTATTAGTGAATGTTTTGTAAATTAAGATTGAACGTTTTTTTAGATTCTCTACGACATAATATTTGAAAAATGGTTATATGTAAGTTAGGAATAGTCGTCCTTCAGGATAATTCCTGGTAAATAGAATCTATGTTTTACCAACCCTAAATAAATTTGATTCTAAAAAATAATATCATTATTGAATTAAGAAAATACAAATTAAGAGAAGTACGGACAAAATGTCATGGTTATTTGTTTTTGACTGATATTTATTTATTAAATGGTTTCATAACCAGTCTCAATCGTATTTATCATCTTTGGTTCAACTACTACTAGTAAGATAGTATTTTAATTAAGTACAAACTATAATAACATATTTAGTAAAGAAATGCAACTTGTTACAAAAAAGATTGTGTTCATATAGTACGGACAAAATGACATAGGAAAAAGACATATTTGATAAAAATAAAACGGCCAAAACTTTGTTTGAAAATCCATAGATATCTTTGAATATTTGATAAAAATAAAACGGCCAGAACTTTGTCTATAAATCCATGGAAATGTGTTAATTTTTAAAAAAGCGAAGCCAAAGGGTACAAGTCATACATCGTAACCAACTTTTTTGCAACAAATGCAAGTCTTTTCTTTTTACGAGTAGACCTTTAAGTCTGTTTTTAAGAAGTTAAAAGGCAC